CATATGTACGCGCGACGTTTACACCACGCTACGCGACGCGAAGGCCTGATAAGACGGGGACACCGTCGCGGTGGCGATGCGAAGCGAAGCCGTACCGCGGTGAAAGCGTATATATATGTACGTGCACGTACGCACCGTGCGTATGCATGTCTTTTTCGACCACACCACACCGCCGCACACCGCGACGCACGCATTCACCGCACTGCTGTGGTGCTGCTGGAAGGTGCGCGCGCGCGCAGCGACGCCGACGGCCGAGGCCACTAGCGCTCCAGCGAGTGTTGCACTGGGTGCGTTCTCATTGATTTTCCAGTACAGTATTAGTCGCTATTGTTGTTTTACTGGACAAGCGTTCCCTTTCTCCAGTAAAAAGTTTCAGTAAAAACTAAGGCACTATAAGATGTAGGTATTCCTATCTTGGTTCCAGCTAAGTGGATAATGTAACCTCCAAGTTTGTTCTGCAATAAAGTTAGAAATTATTAATTATTACAATTTTTTATTTTATTATTGCAATTTACTGCAACGCAGCAAAGCATCTTGATTGTAATGTGTATATTTATACTTCGTCAGACGTACTATAAACTTATCACGTATTAGTTCTCAGACAACACGTATGTCTTAAAGACGTTCAAAAGACGTCTTAAAAAAGACGTCTTTAAAACTTTACTTAAATACGTTTTTAAGATGACTTTAAATAAAATCCTAAAGACGTCTTTTTTATGACGTCTTTTCGGTGTCTATTTTAAGACAGTTTGCCAGACAATATGTATGTCCAAAAACGTCTTTATGATGTATTTAAGACGTCTTTCAGACATACATTGGCCACGTTTACACCGCAACGCTTAGTCCGCGACCTATATCTTATATTTCACCTAAACACGATAGGTCATGACGGTGTAAACAGTTATGAAGCGACCCAATCTGGCTTAGGTCGGATCTCTTTTTTACGATCCTTGACCCATTTTGAGTCGCATGACATAGACTGCGTTCCGTTTGGCGCTTACAGCTGGTTACAACGCTCACAAAATCATTTCATCCTTGTTGTTTATCAAATATTAAACAAAGACAAATGATGCTTATAAGCGCTGTAGGCGCCAAGAGGAACGCAGCCATAGCGCGTGTAAACGCAGGTAGACTAACGGCTATGTATAACTCAATAGATGACGCCAGATGACGCTCATATGCGAATGTATGAGGACTAAAAAGGGTCCGATTTGGTCCAAAAGTGCCATAAGTCTACATGGTGTAAACGCTGTAAACGTTCAATTAATAAAGGCCTACTTTAGGTTAGGTTAGGATATAGGTGAAGGTATAGATCGGAGTACACACGGTGTAAACGTGGCCATTGTATAGGTTAAACATTTGTAACATATTTATTATATGTTGTATATTATAATGCTTTAGCTTATGTATAAATACTGTTTAAAAAATTATTAATTGCATTACATTATAAAAATTAATAGCAGCTAACTAGATTTATATTACTCGGATTTAACATTTGTGTATTCCGCGCGGTTTCGGGTTTGTGTGGTTCGGTGCCATGCCGGCCATGCCATTACGCCATTCTTCAAACGACGCCGTAGGACGCAACCTAACCTAATCGTGCACTTTTTACTCAGGTAATCCTATGTCTTATTGAATAACTTTTAAGAATGTTACATAAAATCAATCATTTAGTTCATAAAAATATTTGACTTATTATAAAGTTTAAGGTTATAATATTTTTGATTGAGAAAGCCATATTAAGATCTGTTTTTATTTACAGGCTGTTCTGCCTGCCGAACCATATGCTGTCCTATGCCAATGCATTGTCATTACATAAACACACCCAATGTAATGGACAACGATCCGATCTGGTAATCCATATGTTCACAATTATAAAAAAATATATAGAAATAATATTGTATACAATGTATATATAATATATATGTATAATAATGTATGTATAATGTATATGTATAATATATATGTATAATGTTATGTACAACAATTATAAAAATATAAAAATTTTAATTTATTTAATTGTGTCCTTAAGTGTGGAAAACAATACATATATCAGCACGTCTAAAAACCGTTTAAAATACGACTTAAATAAGACTTAAATAAGACGTCATTAATTTTAAAAAATGATATCCAAAAGACGTCTAAAAGACGTCATAAATCAGGAAACATGACGTCTATAAGATATCCCAGAAATGTCATAAATCGGGTTATAAGACGTCTTAAAGACGTCTTATTGACGTCTTTTTGGTACTTTTTTCTGACGTCTCATGAAATTTAAGATGTCTTTTAGCCATCTTTAAGACGTCATAATGTTGTCTGGGTTACTTTTCATTTACACCAAAATTCAAATAATTCTCATTTGTAACATCATAAATTAGTCGAATGTATGTTCCTTTTTATTCTAATAAGTGAGATTCAACTGAGTTTTTACTTATAATCTGCATAAAGCTCGAAATCGTATGCTTT